GGACTTCAAATTACCGTGTAACCCTGGGAAGGGGGGGGGGGGGCAATATAACTTTTGGCTTAACGGAGTTTGTAGGATTATCTGGGGGTTCTCATCCGAATAGTGACTCTTTGCCTCACTAGGTGGTAATCGCTCAATGTGTGACCCTAATGAGGTAAAGTTTCATACACCCAGATTCTTGTTTGGCTGCCTCCACTATAGACACATTCTGTTGTTATAGAGTTTTCTCTGATGTTTTCTTTCCACCTTGTCTGAGGTCTCTACATCGTGCTCTTAGTCCTTCACATGTTTTAGTGTATGTCTTACTTACTTACTCACTTACTTACTTACTTAGTCACTCCTCTTCTACCTTGGGGTGTAGAGGTTCGCCAGAGAGATCGCCAGACTTTTCTGTCAGCAGTTTTATTTCTGGTTTTGTTCCATTTAAGTCCTCTGTCCATCAGGGAATGACGGATGTTGTTTTCTCATCGGACCCTGGATCGTCCTGGTGGCCTGGTTCCTTGGTTCTTTGCCTCCAACGCCTGCCATGGTGGCCGATTTTCTCCCATTCTGCATACATGTCCAGACCATCGTAACTGTGATAGATCGACTCGTTTGTAAGGCCTTGGTTTCAAGTTCTTGACGTATTGTTTTGTAGCAAATTTTGTCCTTTTTTGTAATTTTGACCACCTGTCTAAGATATTTCATTTATGTTGTCTGAAGCTGGCTTCTGTGGGCTGTTGTCATGGCCCATGCTTTACACCCGTAGGTCAGGATTGGTACATAGGTAAAGAGGTAAATAGCCATTTTCGTCCTCTTGCAAATTGTTTTCTTTTGCTAAGAAACTCTTGGTTTATGGACTTTAGTGTATGTATATATAGAATGTTATGGCGTCACAAGGCATTCTATATAAGCGGGCAAACCGTTTTATTTGCCGTTTTGTATGTTATTGGCAACACATATCATTTTATGTAGGCGGGCAAACCGTTTTATAAAATGTTGCACTGCGGGAAGTTTGGCAGCAGACCAGCTAGCTTTGGGTTTAACAGTAGTGTCGAGAGCCTGCCGTTTAGTGAAAATATCAAACAAGTGAACATAAAATTGCCTAGTAAAAAAGCCACAAGCAGCTAAGAAACAATGCTGGGGTTGGCTCTGCAAAATTGCAATTAACCTCTCCTCACCTGGATCTACATACCTGTTTATGCTGGCGTAAGGGCTGATGAGCGAGCCACGACCGGCTCCAGTTGACGGGCCTTGCTGCTGACGTCACCGGATCAGGCTAACGATGCGTTAACGCAGCGGTTCTCACACAAGAAATAAACTATTTTTCGACCGTGGCAAGGGAAGACAACTCAAATTGTAGCTTTTAAGTATCTACATGCCTTCTTTAATAATTTCACAATTTTGAGCCGACTTTTCTTGATTATAACTGCGGCATCCCTGACATACGCTCACGGCACCTCAGTGTGCTTCGGCACCCAGTTTGAGAATCTCTGCGTTAGGGCATCGTCAGCCCGTCCGATGACGTCAGCAGCACGTCCCATCAGCTGAAGACAGTTGTGAGCGGGCGGACCAACTGGCAAGCAGTGCACCAACGCATATGGAAAGAAGTATGGGCAGATATCATCAACGCTGTCCGGACTGAGCTAGTGGATAGTGATGAATCTCTGACACTAACACGATTGCGTGACATGGGAGTAAAGCACGAGCAAGCACGTCTATACCGCCGTCGAGGCTAAGATAGGAAACACTATAACCGGCCTCTTATGGGAACAATTAGTAGAAGTACCTTAGAGTGGCTGCTGCATAGGAGGACTGAGCACGCATTGAAATACCTCGTGTGCAGTGACGTCGATTGTGATAACATAACATAAAGATCTAGTCATTCTAGCCATCATGTCTCTCTTCCTTCCTCTCTCTCTCGTCTCTCTCTCCTGTCTCCTCGCTCTCTCTTCTTCTCCAACACGAGCCTCCTCCTTCCTCTCCTCTCCCTGCGATTTCCTTGCCTTTACACAGCACAACATAAAACTATCATCTTTAAAGACGGAAAGCTGCAAATAACAATTTCGTTTACAGATTGGGTTCACCAGTTTACGTCGTCAATATCATATTTCATCAGCAAAAAATTACATATTTTTGAAAAGGTGCTTCACTAAATTTGTTTGTCCGATGTGAACATTACTTTAATTCGTGTGTGTTTTATACGTGACTCATTCTCCCTGCGCGTGTGCATCTCATCTCTCTCTCTACTCAAATCTCGTCGTCAACTATCTGTGATTCCAATGTCTCGGCTCCCCATCATCGTGTTCCCTCCTCTCATGCTCCCTTCGATCTCATTCGGCATACTCCTCTCTTCTTCTCTCGGTTCTTGTACTGCTTTGATCTCTCTTCTCTCATCTCTCTCTGGTCTGCATCTCTGTCATCTCTCTCTCTTCTTCTCTCTCTGTGGTCTCTCTCCTCTCTCTCTCTCTCCTGTCAGCTCTACTTCCTTTCTTCACCCTCTCTCCTCACAATCCCTTCTCCAATTCCCGTCCTCTTACTCTCGTCTCATGTCGCTCAGTGGCTCTCTCTCTTACTTCCTCCTTCTGTGTGCTTTGGTGAGTCTCTCTCTTCTCTCTCTCCTTTCTCTCTCTCTCTCTCTCTCCTCTCTCTCGTCATCTCAGTCATGTATGTGGTTGAGTGTATGTGTGTGCATAGCACTAAAGTGGACTTAATGCACTGGTTATCAGTTCACCGCACTAAAAAACAGCAATGACGCAATCATAAGGATTCGTATATTCTCTGCGGAATTAGCAGAAATTCCCGGTTTGATTTCGGCGATTCCCGCTGAGAACAAAGAACGTTCGGGGAAAACTGATATTTTTGTGTGTGTGTGTGTAGCTCACGAAGAGTTAGATTACCTTTTTTTTGCGCTTTGTTCGCGTCGTACATACAGTGTTTTAGCAGTCGGCATTCGATGGGTGATGTGAATCTCACCACACGTCGTTTTACTCAATTTTCCCACACCTAATAATTTTTTTCCCCGTAATATCATACACCCCAGATGACGTCACAGGACAGTCCAACATTTTAGAGTGTGGTAAGACTGGGTTTCCTGGCTTTCTGATACTTTTAACGACCTCAAAACATCTAGAACTGGCCCTAACCCCAACCTACCTACGTCCCACGAGATAGTGCAGCTTAGGTCCGACAACTGCATGCAGCCTACCACCCCTATGCAATATTAGACTGTTCCGTGACATGTGGATTTCCCAATGTTTGTGGTAAGATATTAAGAAAGCACCCAATAAAAAAAACTATATCTTTTGTAGACATTTTGAACTGTCCCTGTCCTCCCACTTCACCTGTCTCGTGCGTCGTTGACCATTGTCTTTTACGCCCGCTCATTGGCAAGCTGGGCGTCAGAACAAAATGTAGTTGTTATTTGTCCTAATGGAGTTACAAAGCCGTGGATGCTGCTGTACACGTTGAGCAGTGAATATGGTCGTGTTGGGAGCACCATAAGGATAACAAATTTTGTGGAGCAACTTTGTAAAAGGACAGACAGACAGACAGACAGACAGACAGACAGACAGACAGACAGACAGACAGACAGACAGACAGACAGACAGACAGACAGACAGACAGACAGACAGACAGACAGACAGACAGACAGACAGACAGACAGACAGACAGACAGACAGACAGAACAGACAGACAGACAGACAGACAGACAGACAGACAGACAGACAGACAGACAGACAGACAGACAGACAGACAGACAGACAGACAGAACAGGACAGACAGACAGACAGACAGACAGACAGACAGACAGACAGGCAGGCAGGCAGGCAGGCAGGCAGGCAGGCAGGCAGGCAGGCAGGCAGACAGACAGACAGAAAAAAGGGAAAAAAGGAAAAAGAAAAGAAGAAGAGGGTGATGCTTATGAAAAGAAGACAGAAGAAGAGGAAAGAAGAAAAAAAGAAGAAAAGAAAAAAGAAAAGAAGAAGAAGAAGATGAAGAAGATGAAAAAGAAGAAGAAGAAGAAGGGAAAAAGGAAAAAGAAGAAGAAAAAGAAGAAGAAGAAGAAGAAGAGGAAAAAGAAGAAGAAGAAGAAGAAGAAGAAGAAGAAGAAAAAGAAGGAAAAAAAGGAGGAGAAGAAGAAGAAAAAGTAATAAGGAAAAAGAAGAAGAAGAAGAAGAAGAAGAAGAAGAAGAAGAAGAAGAAGAAGAAGAAGAAGAAGAAGAAGCAAGAATGAAAAGAAATAAAGAAAATTCTATGCCACCAGTGAGTGTGTCGAAAGGTCTGATGTAACTATCAGTCTTATCTTCTTGCCAGACGTTTTCGTCGTCAGCGACACTCTCCAGATGATCTCCAGGAGACTGATCACCACGAGGACTTCACTGAAGTGGTCACCATGGATGAGACTATAGCAGCAATGGTGCTGACCTCACTGAGTGTCAGTCCCAGCTCTCCCTCCGTGACCTGTGCTCATTACAGAGGTATGGTCCATTGTTGTATGTGCTGTTGGTAACCGGTTTAGTTCATGTTTAATGGTTGGGGATGATATGGGGTAGAGATTTAGACTGTATTTTTATACTGTGGTAACCTTTAAGGTTGCCAGAATAAATACCCAACTTTAGCAGTTTTAGACAAAAGTCGGACTTTGGCAACTTTAGACAACTGGGACTCTAGAAGTTTTAGATAACTCGGACTCTATCAACTTAAGACAGCTGGGATTCTAGCAACTTTAGACAACTGGGACTCTAGCAACTTTAGACAGCTGGGACTCTAGCAACTTTAGACAGCTCGGACTCTAGCAACTTTAGACAGCTCAGACTCTAGCAACTTTAGACAGCTTGGACTCTAGCAACTTTAGACAGCTCGGACTCTAGCAACTTTAGACAGCCGGGACTCTAGCAACTTTAGACAGCTCGGATTCTAGCAACTTTAGACAGCTGGGACTCTAGCAACTTTAGACATCTCGGACTCTAGGAACTTAAGACAACTCAAAATCTAGCAACTTAAGACAGCTCGGACTCTAGCAACTTCAGACAGCTCGGACTCTAGCATCTCTAGACAACTCAGACGCTAGCAACTTTAGACATCTCGGACTCTAGGAACTTAAGACAGCTCGGACTCTAGCAACTTCAGACAGCTCGGACTCTAGCATCTCTAGACAACTCAGACTCTAGCAACTTTAGACGACTGGGACCATATGTGGTATCATGTCTCATCTTCATGATGTCTACATTGCCAAGTCGTAAAGCCGTTTGCCTCGCGCTCTTAAGGCAGTGTGTTCATTTTACGGCTGCGCAGTTTTATTCACGAGATCTGTTGTTAAAGAGATCTCATGAGATCGTCGTCGGAGCTGTGGAGTTAATGTTTTGTGTGACGCTGTTAGGAATTCTGCGGATAGAGACCAAATAGTATAGGATAAAACCAGTGCAGTGAAGTGGATCATCTAAACTTTAACCTCTAGCCCTGAATGGTCGCTAGTAGCGATCATCGCACACAGAACGAACTCCATAGCTTCAGCGACATACCATCCATATATTCCTTAAAACTGAACTTGTGAACCTAAGAAAGGAAGTTTGTTTCAAACAAACCCGAAATCTTCGCAGCGCGAGGGAAACGACTTAACCCGGATTGCCAATAAGACAGTAATTCATACTCTCACATTCGGGAATCAAGCCCTACTCAATCAAGCAGGTGCCATCTTCACAGTGGAGGTTGTCTGCAGTCGATCTCCGACACTTAAATTCTTCTTATTTGTCTCTAAAGGTTAAAGATAAACTTTATTTCACTGGGTTTTTTCCCCATATCGCACAGTCTTTCTCCACAGAACGGCTGGCCGCGTATCTAGAGCATCGAACACGAACCCCGTAGCTCTGGCGACGATTCTCAGTGATCTCCATTTAAAAGGGGAAAAAAGCCGCTCGTGAACCGAACGACGCAGCCTGTGAAACAAACCAACAACCTTCTGTACACGAGGCAAACGTCTTGACCACATCGCCACGGGGACCCACAGACTCTGTGTCTTATCTTGGTTGCACACTCTCTGTAGTCTGTCAGTTCGTCTTGCTGGACTTCCCTGCTGCCAGAACAGTCGCAGTGTTTTTGCACCAGCCTCTCTCCTCCCCACAAGACTTGCTGCACATCCCGCACGCTAGAGAACCCTATCAGAGCGCATCGACTCAGCCCGACCCATTAACCCAGTTTGCCGCCTGCAGCTCCCTACTGCTGGAGGGAAACTGGGTTAGAAGCGCGGGGGTGAAAGTTCGAATGTTCTTTTACAAGTTCCGCTGTGCTTGTGTGTGGTTATTAAATTGCGTGGTTGTGGGAAACACGAAAGAGCTGTGTTGCTGAATATATTGGGTAAGAAACACACAGGCACGTGAGGTGGGGGCCGCGGTAGCCTTGTGGCTAGACTCTGGTCTGCTGGCCTGAAGATCTCGGATTCAAATCCACACGGATTTTCCTGTTTCAGAATTGACAGAGGTGTATCTAATGGCTCCCGGGTCGCACCGGAGAGAGAGAGAGAGAGAGAGAGAGAGAGAGAGAGAGAGAGAGAGAGAGAGAGAGAGAGAGAGAGAGAGAGAGAGAGAGCGGGGGAGGGGGAATAGCTAGAACATGTCTTTTAACATTTTGAGGGAAAAAAATGTGCGTATCTTTGTGTGTGTGTGTGTGGGGGGGGGGTGTAGTGGAGTGACTGAAAGGTTACTACACCGGGTACTATCTGACTTTGTTGCGTCACTGCACCCAAACCAACCCAAGCTAAAATTAGTGCCAGCTGAAGTCCTAAGAAGTAAAGAGTCCCAGGGGGTTTAGCATCACAGGCCCAGTGGGTAGTAAAGAAAGTAAAAAAATCGACGTATCATGCGTTCATTGGGATTCTAAGTAGAAACCTATGAACGTATGATGCGTTCCTTGGGACTCAAAAAGTTAACCAGATCAGCCACCGAGTGCCGACTGGTCTATGAAAATATGTCTAGCTGTGTAGCCGCCGGAACCTGGATGCTGACAGAGAGGCACTGATACTCGGACATGGACGCATACAAATAGACGCAGACGCAAACATACACACAGACACAGAAATTCAAACACAAACATTTACACATACATAAACATTTCAACAGACAGCCATTCAAACAGACACAAACGGAGACAGACAGACACAGTAAATAATAACAGACACCAACATACAAACAGGCACGAACTACAGACATACAAACAGATACAGACACAAGCATTCAGACATAAACATACAAACAGACACAAACATACAGACTCAAACATAACTTACAAACATAACTTACAAACATACAAGGCCAGACATACAAACATACAAAGAGAATCACACAGATTACCAAGGCTAGCGAATGTGTTAAGCTGTACCGTGCTTTAGAGACGTATCAATAAGCGTGACGAGACACGGAGTCAGATGTGCGCCATAGCAGAAGAAAGGAAGGCGGGGGTGGGGGGGGGGGGGGTAGGCTGACACAGGGCTTATGTTTCGCCAGGAGGTAAATGGAAGAAGAAGAATTGAAGAAGAAGAAGAAGAAGAAGAAGAAGAAGAAGAAGAACTAAGAAGAAGAAGAAGAAGTCAGGAGAAGAAGAAAAAGAAGAAGAAGAAAGAAGAGAAGAAGAAGAAGAAGAACCAGAAGAAGAAGAAGAAGAAGAAGAATAGTAGAAGAGAAGAAGAAGAAAAGAACTGAGGAGGAGGAGGAGAAGGGAGGGGGCGGGGGGAGGGGGTTAAAAAAGAAGAGGAATGATTTTTAATATGACATTTGCTACGACCACTGTCACCACTACCAAAACCACTGTCACCACTACCAAAACCACTGTCACCACACCATTACCATTGCTACTACGACCACCAGTATTATCACCACTACTGATACGACTTTCTCAACTACTGCTGTTGCTACTACAGCGACAACTCAAATTGCAAATACTACTGCCAACACCACCACCACCATTACTACTGCTGTGCTGCTGCTACCATTTATTTTGTGAGGCAGATTGCGCCTTGGTTTAAAACACGGCCTTCTCTTCTTTATATCTAAAGATGGCCGTGGTTTAAAAAAAAAGGGGGCGCCCTATCGTGACTATCATTTTCACAGGAACCATTCTACACTGTGTAACCAGTCACCTGTCTGTAATGTCAAGGCTTTCTCGGACCGAAAGTAGTAACAGACTGTGTCAACAAAAAGTTTAGATCCTCTTGCTGTCAGCGGTAAGCTCCAAATTTAGACTTGGTGTTTCAGTAAATTCCTGGCCAACTCACGAACACCTAGTGGTTCCCCACCCCCAAGAAAAAAAAAAAAATAAGGGAACACAATGCCCCCCCCCCCTCAATTATGTTTACAAGTTCTTTTTGAAATAGTGTATCTATACATTTGTATTTTTCGTTTAATTATCCAGAAACCATGAGTTGTTAACCATTTGGCTCAGTAAAATGGATATCGCAACTCTTCGGCTTAATCCATGACAGACGCTGTAATTCTGGGAGAAATGTGGCTTTTTGTGCCAACCATCGGTCGTGATCTCAGACCACACGGAGTTCGTCACCCACTCGCCGCGAAATCAGGTTTAACCAACTACGCTAGCAAGACGGATTTAAAAAAATAATTCGCCCAACGTGGGGCTCGAACCCACGACCCCGAGATTAAGAGTCTCGTGCTCTACCGACTGAGCAAGCCGGGCTTGATACACATTAGTATAAAATACATTTCATAACAAATGTCTAAGAAAAGTGAAAAAAATTAAATGGGATTAGTCTCCCCCCCCCCCCCCCCCAACCTAAGTGAATAAATATCAGAAATGTCTTAGCAACCACTAGTATTAACAGTTATGAAACATAAAAGATGGTGCTACATTGGACACGTCTTGGGAAAAACCAGCAGAGAATCACCAAACAGGCATTACGATTGAAAATAAAGGGATTAAGGAGGCAGGATCCCAAACTAAATCCTAAGACGAACGTTGGTGAGAAAGGCCAGTTTATGAGAAAGGCGAATTTATGAGAAAGTCTGGTAGTCTTAGTTTCAGCTTCAAAGCAAACGGGTCACCCCATCTTTGCTTCGCTCCTGTGCCAACGAAAAACACACATAATGTTTATCACAGTTCCTTGTGGAAAGATCGACAGACTGCTGTCTCAGCATATCTAGCATACACACGCATTAGACACTTCTGGTCAGAAAGGACGATAGGCAGGGGCACTGTTTGGAGCCAAGGCAAATTTATTGCTTCTGCCGAACGGTGGCTGATGCATTTTTGCTCCATTTGTAGACTGGATAAAGTTTCGTCGCCCAGCTTCTGAGTTGAATGCATGGCGCGACACTGTGAGCTGCGAATTTCATTTTGAATGTTTTTTCGACTGTGACCACCAATCGAACCGGGTGCCTTTTTCTTCTTCTACTTCTTTTTCGTCTTCTTCTTCTTCTTCTTCTTCTTCTTCTTCTTCTTCTTCTTCTTCTTCTTCTTCTTCTTCTTCTTCTTCTTCTTCTTCTTCTTCTTCTTCTTCTTCTTCTGCTGCTGCTGCTGCTATCTTCTACTGCTGCTGCTGTTGCTTATGCTTATGCTTCCTCTTCTTTACCATTATCGTCATCATCATCATCATCATTGAACATAACAACCAGGGGGTGGGGGGGATTGGGATGGGACCAAGTACTTCTCTGTTGAAATGTGATAAGAGTGACATTCTAAAGATCACCAGCTACATGATGGAAGTGATTCACCATAAACACAGAACAAAAGAGTATATAGCTTGCTACTCAAATTGTCAATTAAGTAAGGGTGGTAATTCTTGAAGACTTTACTAGCCAAGGATGATAACTTCTGTAGACTGTAATGGCCAAGGGTGATAACTCCTGCAGACTGAAATGACTGAGGTTGATACCTACCGCAATTATCTAGCAAGTTACTGGGAAAGGGCAATAACCACTATAGTGCTTGTTACTGACGAGGAGCGACAGTAGCCGTCTATCTTGACACGGTAGCCTCTTCTTGCATCTTATACTGACTGTTTATCTCTCTTGCTCAGAGCATCTGGATGGACACTACCCCTACCCAGACAGCCACCTCTCCAGCAGCGTCGCCAGCAGTGGCTTCTACAGTGGACACTCGGAGCGAGATGACCAGTCACCTCCCCTCCCGCCCCTCAGTGAAAGCGCCCCTGCTGTTATGAGGTACGAACCTTCTGTCATCGAGTCTGATGATGACAGCTCAAACAGTTCCGGCAGGCTGCTTATTAATGAGGTAGGCATTTTGTTACCTATATGTATGATATGTCTGTTTATCTACATAACTTATCTGTCTAAAAGTACCATGCAAGCTACATAAAACAAGAAAGTTAAGTATAATAAAAAGATATTGATCTAAACAAAAATTAGAACTAGTCAGATTCACATTATCACACCACAGATGACAAGTGAACGTTGCCACTGGAAAGCTCCCGTTCACCCACATGAGATGAATAGACAAGAGTTAAGATTGCAAAGAATACTTAAAATCACTTAGCTGAGGTGTCTCCAAACAAACTCTACATGCCTGTCTGGCCAGTTGAAGCTCCCACACATGTGCGAATATAGGAAGTGAAGACTATCAAGAAAAAGCTGGGGCAGGCGATAGATGTGATTAAAAAATATTAGATAAAGCTGTGTAGGACGTTGAGTCTCTTAGGCGTAAGTAGGTAAAATAAAAGGACCTCTTCATGCACACATCATATTTGGCATCATTTGATGCTACACGCAGATGTTTGTAGGCCAATCAGCATTTGATGGATGATGTGGTCAACATCATTATGGCAGCCTTTACTCCCCACATACTACCTGGCACTGGTTTCAGGTTGTTTCGACCTGGGAACCAAGATCATTTCTTAAAGACTAAAAAAAAAAAATGACTAGATGCACCGGATGTGGGATCGAAACCAGGACTTTCGGGCTGGTAACTGAGTCCAGCTCAGTGGTCTCCAGAATTAGCGGGAGGCATGAGGAGGTTTCAGGCTCCATTCAGTTCTGAAATTAAGTGCATTTATATTTGTCATAATCCTGTCACTTTTAACCAAATTAATTTAAAATAAAATGTTTTTAAAAACTATTTATAAAACATAGAGCCATTGACGTTTTCTTGTATCGTGACCAGTGTGTACGCGAATTGGTAAAATCTAATTAATTTAATTATAGATCAAGAAGACATTCTGACCAAAATGTATCTCCATACTTTTTGTTTCTCTTGTTGCTGAATCTGCTGTCCTCCTTTTTAATTCACATTTTGTTATGTTGGGACGAATCGGGTTATTATAATATACTAAAGAGGGATACCAAGGCAATGCAGTATACTCAGAGGTTTTTTTTTTTTTTTTTTTTGGGGTGGGGGGGGGGGGGGGGGGGGGGGGCTTGCCATAGCGCTCAATAGGGCGTGAAGGTCAGGCCATATACTCGAGGGGGTGTGGGGGGTCTTGTCATATACTAAATGGGGCGTAGTCTTTTCATATACTCAGGTAGGCGTGGGTGTCTTGCCATATACTCAAAAGGTCTTGGGGGTCTAGCCGTATTCTTAAGGGCGTGGGCGACCTGAAAATGGTTGAATACCATAAGTCTAACTGTTATGCTGAAACAAGAAAAAACTTATTTACTTGACTGTTTACCTCTCTGCTTGTCTTCCTACCCACCTACCTGCCTGGTTATTTACTTGTTTTACAACCAGCAGTCTGTCCACCTGCCTGTCTGCCTACGTACGCTAGGTCAGACGGACAGACAGACGAACGGACAGGCGGGCGGTCCAAGAGAGAGAGAGAGAGAGAGAGAGAGAGTGAAAGAGAACTGAGAGACGGATGGAGGGGAGAGAGCTGAGAGAGACGGATGGAGGGGAGAGATATGGAAGGAGGGAAGAGAGATACGAAAAGCTGAGGGGAGAGAGAGGGAGAGGAAAAGAGAGAGAGAGAGAGACAGAGAGAGAGAGAGAGAGAGAGAGAGAGAGAGAGAGAGAGAGAGAGAGAGAGAGAGATATGTCTTTAAAATGATAAAAATCGGAAAAATTGACACCTTTGTGGAGTTAATCATGTGAAAACGAGAACGTGCAGTTTGTCCCTACCTGATAAAACTGTTTTACCGGCCCATGTAAAGCTGACGGTTAAACTACGTCAGTGGCTAAATATGGAACGCCAGCCTTTAAAAGATTAGGGTCAGGTGTGTTCAACATATTTGATTTGGCCACGTGCGGTGACAAACAGGCATATCTGGGCCCGTAGATAAAATGCGATACTGCGGTTTCACGTGAAGATCTTTATTATAATATCGTGTCTGGATGTTGAACCCAACAATTGATTGCATTTTGATCTTTAAAGGGAAAGAAATTGTGTATGTGCACCAGAACCCAAGGGATGAACGCTCTTTAGAGTTTAGCGGGTTCGAAAACTTTAGGATTGGGGCACCGGGTTTCAGTGCCGTCTTCAGTCTTACAGAGGTTTCACAACCAACCTGTCAATCAGTCATCCGCCTAACCAATCAGTCATCAACATACAACCTAACTAAACAATGAATCTATAGGCGAAGAACCACATTTGTAAAACGAATATGAACGCAGAACTCAGGTTCTAGAAGTGAACGAACAGCCAGAACTTTCTGCGGAAGTTTACAATCAGTAAACGTGAAGAACAAGAAGAACAAGAAAAAGAGGAAGTTGGGGGAGGGGGGGGGGGGAGAAGACGACGACGAAGAAAAAGACGACGACGACGACGAAGAAGAAGAAGAAGGAGGGGGCGGATGATGATTAGAAGAACAAGAAGAAGGAGAAGAAGAAAAAGAAAAAGAGAAGAAGCGGGGGGGGGAGGAGAAGACGACGACGACGAGGAAGAAGAAGAAGTAGAAGAAGAAGAAGAAGAAGAAGAAGAAGAAGAAGACGAGACTCTCAAAAACCAATGTTTAGAACAAAATAGATTAGGTTGGTCTCAAATAGATCAACAATTGCGTCGTTATTTCTAATGACCTACTTCCATCTATCGGCGGGCAGGACTTGGAATCAGTCGGGCACTTTCCCTGTGTTTTGGGTCGCGCTGCCGGCCGGCTTGGCGTCGTATCAAACCACACACCGAGTGGAGTAATTCGGTCATGGCGTATTCTAGAATCAAGCGAATGCATAATTATGGGCATTGTGGGGCATGCGGCGTGTTTAATATTCGAATAATTGCTTTGTAAATTTTAGGGAGCCTGTTTTCTCTTATCGTGGTGTCCGTTCCAGTAGTGTGTCACAGCTATACTGCTGAGATAGTTATCACTACAAGCCAGCCATATGACATCTACTACTACTACTACTACTACTACTACTACTACTACTAATACTACTACTACTACTACTACTACTACTACTACTACTACTACTACTACTACTACTACTACTACTACTGCTACTGCCTGCTACTGCCTACTACTACTACTACTACTACTGCTGCTGCATCACAACCACCAGTAGTGCTACAGTCATTGCACCACCATCATAATATTACTAATACCAATGCTGCAACTTTAACTTTAGACCCATTATGCGTGGCGAAAGATTAACATTGGAATCATTTTGTTTGATAGTACATTTAATATTAGAACCATCATGTCTGACTGGGGTCCATACGTCCCGTTGTCACCGAGCAGACCCGGGTTTTTTAAATAGAACACACACTGATTGTTATATATGTTTGTAATGACAGGTTTTAGCCTCATATACATTTAATGCTTTAATACATGCAATGTATCTCATAATTTAAATGTGATATGAGTAGATGAATCTGTGATATAAGGAAAGTGAAACTGAGATTAGGATCTGTTACTATTGGCATGTAATCTAATCTGAAAGAGAAAACATATAGATCTATACACTACACTAGTGGAACCAGTAAATAAAGGCATGTAATCAACTAGAGAACAAAAACATATACAAACTGAAAGATAAAATATGTACTACACGACTGGTACCGATAAGAACAAGGCCTGCAGTCTAACTAGGGGAAACAAATAGACTGAAAAATTTACACACACAAACACACACACACAGAATAAAATATATAGGTCGATACACTACATTAGTATGACCCAATACAAAACAGGGCATGCAGTCCAATTGTAGCAACGGTTTTCAAGCTGCCGGTAACGAACCTTTACTGGGGTCGAACGACCCTTTCGCTTGGGTCGCCTAAGACACTCGGAAAACATATTTATTGAAGTCATAAAGGAAAATAATTGTTCATGGGTCGCGGCACAGCATGAGGGAACTGTATTAAAGGGTCGCCACAACATTAGGGAACTGTATTAAAGGGTCGCCACAACATGGGGGAACTGTATCAAAGGGTCGCCACAACATGAGGGAACTGTATTAAAGGGTCGCCACAACATGAGGGAACTGTATTAAAGGGTCGCCACAACATGAGGGAACTGTATTAGAGGGTCGCCACAACATGAGGGAACTGTATTAGAGGGTCGCCACAACATGAGGGAACTGGATTAGAGGGTGGCCACAACACGAGGGAACTGCTTTAGAGGATCTCGGCATTATAGAGAAAGAAAAAAGGTTATAATATTAATTAATAGTGTGGCTTTTAAAATGAATAGGTCTTTATATTCTCATGTTCTTAACATGCATTAGTTCCTTCATGATTATTAATAATAATAATAAATTATATATTGGGGGTGGGGGGGGGGGGGGTAATCCTTTATTAGAACGTCCCGTTTTCAGCTCAAACTATTAGTGGGGTGTCCCGTTTTCAGCTCAAACAATTAGTGGGGTGTCCCGTTTTCAGCTCAAACTATTAGTGGGGTGTCCCGTTTTCAGCTCAAACTATTAGTGGGGTGTCCCGTTTTCAGCTCAAACTATTAGTGGGATGTCCCGTTTTCAGTTCAGAATATTAGTGGGATGTCCCGTTTTCAGCTCAAACTATTAGCGGGATGTCCCGTTTTCAGTTCAGAATATTAGTGGGATGTCCCGTTTTCAGCTCAGGATTTTATGATCAGCCTATTTCTGACAGCTCCTTAACATTAGACTCATTATGTTTTTAACACAGTGTTCATCGTCCCGAGTTTAAGAAACAAGTTAATGTTGATGTGTGACAGGTACTTTCGTGAGAATCTGTGACCCGTGTCATTTCTAACAAAAGATACCATCCGTAAACTCCTCTAGCTAAGGGGTGCGGGGGGAGGGGGGGGGGGAACAGGGGCCTTAAGGTTGAACAGGGTTTACCGGGGATTTGTACCTCAACATGGTTAGGATTT